TTTTGTAAAGTCTGTATTCTTGACACATGTGGCCACTAAAGTCTCTTTTCTTTTAGGTTAGTGGTTAGCTAGTGATTTGACAGATTTCCTTAAACTACTGAATACCATCCCTCACACCAAAACAAACAAACAAACCTACCTGGTGTTTGCAGATTTGGTTCTCTTGGGCACTCCAGTGCTTAGGCAGGCAGTTTAAAACTGTCTTAGCTTTCATTCCCTGCTTTCTTAGAGCCTGTTAGCCAAAGAACTTAGGGTCTTTTCAGGGTTTTTTTTGAGCATGCAATTCAACTGTGGGCACATGCATGAAGTTCTGGATTTCCTGCAGTACTCCAGAGCTTTTCAAAACCCTTATTCTTCCCAAGTATTTTCTTTCCTATCCTCTTTCCAATCTATTCACTTTCTTTGCTCCAATTGTTACCCCTTGCCTCAGGTTGCAGTGGTTAATAAGTTTGCCTTTACACTGAAAAGCAATTAAGGTAGCATTGAAAAGGTACTGAATCAGTCCTTCTTGGAGAACAATATTGATCCCTCTTTGATCCTTTTTTTTTGGGGGGGGGGTACGGTACTATCTTTAACATATAGATAGGTATTCATTTGGCACAGCACCATTTGTGTAGAGATGGTGATGAATTTTTAGATATGAATACCAAAAGCATTATGTGTGAAAAATTATAATTTGGACTTTATAAAAAAATTAAACCTCCTAGTTTATGAAAGAAAGGTATTATTAAATGAGTGAAAAGAGAAATCACAAACTGTGAGAAAATATTTGCAAAACATCTGATAAAGGTCTTGTAACCAAACTATATATTTAAAAACTCTTTAACCAGGTGAGTGGCACATACCTGTAATCCCAGCGATTATGGAGGCCTAGGCAGGAGGATTGCAGTTTGAAACCAGTCGAGCAACTTAGCAAGACCCCGTTTTAAAATAAAAAATAAAAAGGGCTGGGAATGCAGCTCATGGTTAAGCCTCCCTGGGTTCAGTCCCTGGTGCCAAAAACAAGCCTCTTAAAACACAACAATAATAAAAATAAAATAACCCAGTTAAGGGCTGGGGCTGGGGCTCATCTGTAGAGCGCTTGCCTAGCATGCGCGAGGTGCTGGGTTGGCTCCTCAGCACCACATAAAAATAAATAAAATAAAGGTATTGTGTCCAACTACACAACTATATATATCCCAGTTAAAAAGTGAGCATCTGTCATCTCAGTGTGACCAGAAGGCTGAAGCAAAGAATTGCAAGTTCAAGGCCAGCCTCAGCAACTTAACAAGATCCTGCTCAGTAGTCAAGTGCCCCTGAGTTCAATCCTGGGGACTCCCCTCCCCCACAAAAAAAGGACTAGGGTATAGCTCAGTGGTAGAATGCCCCCCAGGTTCAGTCCTCAATACCACACATGTGCATGCATGCACACATACACACACACAATAGATCTTAACAGAAATATAACCAAACAGTGTATATAAATGGCAAATAAGTGTATGAAAAGATGTTCAACATTATATGTCAAAAGAGAATTGCAAATTAAAACAGTAATGAAATATCCCTGTACCCTTACTAGAATGACTGAAGAATAAAAATCTGGCAATACTAAATGCTGGTGACATATAGAGTCACAAGAATTATCCCTTAATCCTGATGGGAATGTAAAATGGTATAGGTACTTTTGAAGGCCATGTAGCAATTTCTTACAAAGCTAAAACATAGTATTATCTTTACTGAATTAGTAGTTGCATTGCTACTAATCAAATTGAGTTAAAATTTCATGTTCACATATAACTTGCAAATGAATATTTTTAGTATTCATAATTGCCCCAAACTGGAAACAACCAAGATGAATGGATCAACTGTGGTATAACTACATAATGGAATATTCTGCAAAAAAAAAAAAAAAAAAAAAAATACTAAGCCATGAAAAATCTTAGAAGAACCTTAAATCATGTTGTTGGTTAAAAGAAACCAGCCTGAAAAGACTATTTTATGTTTCAAACTATTTGACACCCTGAAAGAGGCAAAACTATAGAAACAGTAAAATTATCAGTGGTTGCCAGGGATTAAGGATAAAGGGAGCGGAATTAGTATAGGTTAAGAACATGGGAGTTTTACAGTGTTGAAATTATTCTGTATGATACTGTAATGTAGGAATCATGGCGGCATTGTACATTTGTCAAAACCCATAGAACTTTATGAGACCAAAAATTAAACAATGTAAATTGTGGACTTGAGTTAATTAACAAACAGAATACTCCAGACACTGGGTCACAAGGTAGAGAAGATGCCTGCTCCTGTGGACTTGTAGTCAAATAAGTCGGAAAATTTTTAATTAACGTACTACAAAGTATCAAGAAGTTTACTTTAGATTGGGCAGGCAAGGCATCTCTGAGGAGATGGTATTTGATTTAAGAAGGTGTTAGGCATTTAAAGATTGAGGGAAAGTATTCCTACCGGAGGGAATAATTAGGATAAAGCTCCTAAAACTGGAATAACCTGAGTGTATTTGGTAAATAAAAAACTGAAGTTGCAGTGGGTGAAGGGGAGAATAATATAAGGTGGGAACAGAATAATAGTCATAATCAGAATGGAGTGGTACTTCTATAAGCTTATAATAAGGAGTTTGGATTGTGTTTTAAGTGAGATAGGAAGTTTTGGATGTTTTAAGCAGATAGAGCATGATATAACTCATTTTAAAAAGAGTATTCAGGTTATTGTATGGAGAATAGATGGTGAGAGGGAGCAAGTGCAGAGGCAGGGAAACCAATAATGTTTTGGAGTAATTTGAAAGGAAAGGTATGTCTGTAGCTTGGGCAATGATGGTTAAAAAGACATAAAGAAAAATAGGTATCTTCAAGTTATTTGGTAGGGTATATTTTGCAGGTAGAATTTTTAGAACTTGGTGAGAGAAGAATCAATGAAAATGCTTGTATTGTTAGTTTGAGCTACTAAATGGATAATGGTGCTATTAAGGCTGGAGTGGGTATGCTTAGGTATGGAGATTTTGGAATCTCTTTAACTATGTATGCAGTTGTAATAGTCAAACCTGGAACTCAAGGGAGAAGAATGGAATTTTTGCCTGTTTTTTTTTTTTTTAATAAGTAATAATTTTTTTTTTTTTAACTGGGTATTGAACTCGGGTGCTTTACCACGGAGCCATATCCTTAGCCTTTTTATTTTTTATTTTGAGACAGGGTCTTCCTAAGTTGCTTAGGGCCTTGCTGAGGCTGGCTTTGAACTTGAAATCCTCCTACCTCAGCCTCCAGAGCTGCTGGAATTGCAGGCATGCACCACCACTCCAGCTCAATATGTTGTTTTTTTTTTTTTTTAATTGAAAGGTATACATAATCACTTTCTTTAGTTCACAGACCCATCCCGTCCTACCAAAGGTAACTATTACCAGTTTGGGAATGTTCTTAGGTAGCTGGGGATGTAACTCAGTGGTTGAGCACTTGGCTATCATGCACAAAGCCCTGGGTTCCATCCCCAGTGCCAAAAACCAGACAAACAAAAAGTTCTTGAAATCATTCCATTTCAGTCATTAGTAAGATACTTGTTTTAGTATCTTTTAGATGCATCCTAGTCTATTCTGTTACAAAAACATGATTTCTTAAACTGGTTGGCTGTTGATATTTAGGTTGTTTTTCTCTCTGCCAGTGTACAAATGCTAAGTTTTATTCTTTCAAGAATCTAATTAATTTTAATTTTGTAAACTAGTTTGTAGAAGTGCATAAATTATTGAAATTACCAACATATTTTTGGCAGAGCACCTCATAGTTATATCATAGTGGTTCTCTGTAATTATCTGGAGAGAATCCCTGATCCTAAAAATGTTTGCAATATATACTTTCATTAATCTTTTTTTTTTTTGCATAAATTCAATTTGAGTTTTTTAAATATTTTAGTTTTGTAGAGACTTTAAATTTATTTTTTGAAACTTTGGGTATTAATAAGTTGTCAACAGTATACATATAGGTCAGCAACTAAAATAGTACTTGTATCATATAGAAAATCAGCACCCCTATACTGGACTTTTCTCACTGCCTCGTAATTTACTTCTCTTGATATCATAGTGCTTTGGCATACAGGCTTTTGGGTAGTGAGGAAGAAATAATAATTGTACAGAATGTGGTAATGATGTCCATTTGAGGTTCTCTGTATAATAGCATTTAAATTTTTATTTTTTGTAGTTGTAGATGGACAGAATGCCATTATTATATTTGTTTATTTTTATGTGGTGCTCACACATGCTAGGCAAGTGCTCTGCCACAGAGCTATAGCCCCAGCCCATGTATAATAGCATTTTTTTTTTTTTAGAAAGAGAGAGAGAGAGAGAGAATTTTTTTTTTAATATTTATTTATTTTTTTAGTTTTCGGCGGATACAACATCTTTGTTGGTATGTGGTGCTGAGGATCAAACCCGGGCCGCACACATGCCAGGCGAGCGTGCTACCGCTTGAGGCACATCCCCAGCCCATAATAGCATTTTGAATCACATACTTTGTGCATCACAGTGTTAAGGTTTTATATTATATCTCATTTCTCTTCTGAGTGATCACTGATGACTTTAGGGTATGTACTTTCTCTATTTAAAATAAAAGGGCTCTTTCAGTAGACTGTAGGTCATAAACATTTGAATTGGTGCTATTTAAATCAAGAAGTCAAAGAAAAAATCTATATCACACTAGTCAATATAGTTTGGCCCAAATGAAGGAAATAAGCTAGTCAGTATAGTTTAGCCTAAATTTTAGCTTTGAGCATTTTTATGTGTATGTGAAAGAATAAAAAATGCTGAATTTTATAGTTAAACCCCAGAGAAAGGGATGATCAACCATTAGATTTTGCTGATGATTAGGTAGGATAAATACTAGAATTGAAAATATGTATTTAGCAATGTGAAGGTCATTGCTTATTAATGGAGTTTTCAGTTGGAAATGACCAGGTTAGAACCGTTTATGTATTTTAAAATGTATTTTTAATGATGTTTACAGTGTTTTCTTTGCTGTGTTCAGGTTTGCTGTCCTATTGGTGATATGTCTGACAGTGGTAGCTTGATCATGAAGTCACAACTTCAGATCACTGGTAAGTCTTAAAAAGATCCACAGCTTTACTCCCTTCCCTGCCCACCCAAGATCTTAATCTTAAAAGAAAAAATCTTCAGTGACTGTTATTTCAGATGCTGAATTAATGTTCGCTAAATTAATAAAATGTTTAGATATATAAAAATTATGTTTTTATTTCAGGGTATTTTTCAGGTATGTGTTTTCACCTCCCTCATTAAACATAGGTGCCTAAGCAGTGGCTATTGGTTTTTTGTTTGAACTAAAAGCTTTATTGAGCTATAATTCATATCCCATACAGTATTTTTGGGGGGAGGTGGGGTTACTGGGATTGAACTCAGGGACTCCTGGCCACTGAGCCACATCTCCAGCCCTATTTTGTATTTTATTTATTTAGAGACAGGGTCTCACTGAGTTGCTCAGCACCTTGTTTTTGCTGAGGCTGGCTTTGAACTTGCATCCTCTTGCCTCAGCCTCCCCAGCTGCTGGGATCACAGGTAGCCTCTTCAGCTTTTTTTTTTTTTTTTTTGGTCTGGTGTAGAATTTCTTTAACCTCAGGATTGGGTATGTTGCTTAGTAGTTGAATGCTTGCCTATTGTGTGCAAAAAACAAAACAATGAACTTCTTTAGCCTCAGCTAAGACTTTCATAGCCTGGCTCCATATGGTATCTTTTAAAGTCTTTTATAAGGGAACCTTTTGTACTAACTAGGAAGAGTCACTAGATTTTCTTCAGACAAAAGCCTAATCTCTTTCCTTTAACAGCATTTATTGATTATAGAACAATTATCATCCTCTACATGTTGTTTCAGTTTCTACTGTACCTGGCTTATATCCTCTTCTGGATTGTGAATCATGTTTAGTCACAGACCATAGAATTATTATCCTTCTTAAAATCTGAAGGTGATTGACTTATATGAAATTAATACTGTCTTAAGGTAACTACCCTAGAATTTTCTTTTGGATTTCCTTCACTAGCTCCAGTGTATTTTCTTACAATGTTTGATTCTTACTGGCAGATATTAATATTTCTTTACTAAAGCTAGATTATAATTGTTTTTCCCTCCCCCTTCCAGTCTTCTTATATCTTTGGGTGGACTAAGGAAAGAGCTTAATATTGAAACCTTTGATTAGAATTGTCTTTTAAAACAGCCTTTATGTTTCAGATTACATAGTAATTGTTTTAGTCAGCTTTTGTATTTTTCTTGTCAAAATACCTGACAAGAAAAACTTAATGGAGGGGAAGTGTTTGGGGGGCTCACAGTTTCAGAGGTCTCACAGTCCATATCCAGCTGACTCTTACTTTGGGCCCAAGGTAAGGCTGCACATTATGGGGGAAGGGCCCAGTGAAGGAAAGCTGCTCAGCTCATGGAGGGATCAGGAAGCAAAGAGAGAGGGAAGGGGGAAGAGGCCTCAGGAAAGATGGACCCTTCCTGGGCATGCCCCTAGTGATCTACCTCCTCCAGCCAACTGCCTACACAGTGCAGTCATTTCACTTCCAAATATTCCTGCATTAATTCAGAAACCTTTGGGGAACAACTTATATTCCAAACCGTAATATAATGTATATGCTTTTTATTTTTAAAAATCAGTAAAATAATAAAATGATGAATTATAATCTCTCAGCAAACCATTGCTAATAATTTGTCTTTTTCTTTTGCATAAACTGCTGTCTTATATGATATCATTGTTATTATCATAACAGAAAATAATTTAATAAATGTTTCTACCACAGAAAGTTCTAATCATAGCCAATTTAATGTTGGGCTTAAAAATTCTGAAAATGTGGGCTGAGGCTGTAGCTCAGTGGTAAAGCACTTGCCTTGCATGTGTGAAGCACTGAGTTTCATCCTCAGCACTATATAATGTGTGTTCATTTACAACTAAAAAATATTCATAATTTTTTTTTTTTTTGAGAGAGAATTTTTTTAATATTTATTTTTTTTTTAGTTATCGGCAGACACAACATCTTTGTTTGTATGTGGTGCTGAGTATCGAACCTGGGCCACATGCATGCCAGGCGAGCACGCTACCACTTGAGCCACATCCCCAGCCCGATAAATTTTTTTTAAAATTCTGAAAATGTGCAAGTGTGTGAGAAAAACTATAAAAACAAACCACGAATAATGGATAAAATTTATATGTTTAGCCAATATATCATTAAATATTGTGTCAGTTTTCATTACTGTAACAAGTACCTGAGGTAATTAACTTATTAAATCAGAGTGAAGTGTTATTTTCATTTACAATTTTAGAGATTCCAGTCCATTATTAGGTTGACCCATTGCTTTTAGGCTATGGTGTGGGGCAGCATATCATGGTGGGAGCATGGATAGTAGTAAAGCTACTTACCTAATAGTTGGGTTCCAAAACTGCGAAGGGGTCGGGCCCCACACTGTCCCTTTCACTGTCTCTTTACTGCTGAGCTACATTCCCAGTCTTTTAAATTTTTATTTAGTTTTGGTACCAGGGATTGAACCCGGAAGCGCTTAACCACAGAACCATGTCTCTCCATTCCTTTTTATTTTTTTATTTTGAGACAGAGTCTCATTAAATTGCTTAGGGCCTCACTAAATTGTTGAGACTGGCTTTGAACTTTGATCTCCTGCCTCATCCTCCTGAGCTTCTGGGATTACAGGCATGTGCCACCTTGCCCAGCCCTAACCTAATTTTTGACCCCAGAGTTAACTGTTATCCAGTGAGTTGTATCTCTTTCTCTTGTTCCTTATCCAGCTGATTTATCAGGACTTAGCATCCTTATTTTTACCTTATTCACTATAGCCTCTCTACTCTCACTTAGTTGCGGAGGCCGACCTTGAACTTTTGATCCTCCTTTCTAAGGCTTCTAAGTAAAAATCAAAATTGGTTCAAAGCATTAATCTTTAGAGCAGAAGGATCAAAGTTAACTATATTGGGTAGAGAATGTCAGGGCCAGAGGTGAAGGGAAGTAGGGAGGGAGAGAAGCAGAGAAAGCGAAAGGGAGAAGTGTTGGGAGTCGCCCCTGATCCAAAGACTAACTTCCTCATCCCCCCCCTAGAAGAGCCATCCAATGGTGAGCCCTGCTGGCTTACATGATCCTTACCCACCAATCAGACTAGCCCTGCTGGCTCATATGATCCTTACCCACCAATCAGACTAGCCCTGCTGGCTCACTTGATCCTTACCCACCAATCAGACTAGCCCCACTGACTCACATGATCCTTACCCACCAACCAGAAAGCACCCCATGCCAACTGTCAAACCTTTCAACCATTAAACTGTCATAACTGTCAACCTACCCCCCCCCCACTCTATAAATATGCAGAGCTGTTCCTCAATAGACGGGCATTTTCTCCAACAAGGAGCCTTGTTCGTTCTTTCAAGAAGGAAACTATAAAGCAGGGAAATTCTTTCTACCATAATTGATAATCATTTGGTTCAACAAGTGTAGTAATCACCTCTGAAGGTAAATCACAAAGTGCTATAGAAGTTATAAAGACTGGCTACATGCTTGCCATGAAGGGGATTGTAGTTTGAGTTAAACAAGTAAAAACTAGTAAGAATGGAAAGCTGTAGGAGCCATACATAAATATGAAAATACCGTGGAAACATGGAAGCAGGAACAATTTAATTTCTTAGGGTTAAAGAAGCATTTTATCAAAGAAGAATGGCAAGGGCTTTTGTCTTTTAAGAGGTAGGATTTCATTGAGGAGGAAAGGAACAAAGATCATTCTGAGTAGAGGTGTCAGAATGTGTGGAAGCATGGAAGTTCATGGCCCCAAAATTCTAACTAAGGGTGGCTGGAATATGGGGATAGATGAGAGTTGGTTTAGGAAGGGGCTGGAAAGATATGTTTATGGTTACATGATAAACAATGTAAACTGTCTCATAAGAGTTTAAACTTCATTTTTCAAGCAGTGGAGAATCTTTGAAGTAATAACATGATTATATCTATTTTAGGAAGATAATTTTGGTAGCTGCAAGGAATTTAATTACAGAAGTAAAAAGACAGTTGTTTAGAGGCCTCTTATAGTAGTTTGACATTTTTTTGTTCCCCTTTCTTCCAGTTTATAATTTATATAGGTTTTTTTTTTTTTTTTTTAGTATTTATTATTTAGGACTATAACAAAGGTTTTATGAATCTAGACTTTGAGATTTAAACAGTTAAATAATCTTTCCTATCCAGGCTTTGGGTAAATTTTAAATTCCACACTGAGCTTGTCTTTTTGTGTGTAATGTTAAGACAGTAATACCTATCTCAAGAGTAGTAGTGAGTATTGAAATGACAGTATTTAAGTGCCAGACAAGCAATAAATTAACAATTAGTGCTAATTTTCCTTATCCTATTTTCTCCATTTAAAGTTTGTTAAACTGTTGGTGCATTGGCACATGCCTGTAATCCAAGCAACTCCAGAGGCTGAGGCATGAGTATTACAAGTTTAAGGCCAGCCTCAGCAACTTAGGGAGGCCCTTACCAACTTAGTGAGACCCTGCCTCAAAGTTAATAAAAAGACTGGAGATACAGCTCAATGATAGTGTAGCAAGAAATAAGGGTCAGAACACTGAGATCTGGAAGCAGCACTATTAGTAGCACCATGGCCCAGAGGTATAATTCCTAAAGTCTGAGCTCCAAGCACAGTAGGATTTTTTCTTGTAGACATAAGCAAATTTGGGGTACATTAAGGCAAGATAGTTGGTGTAATTCTATTTGGAGGGTGCATTCTACATTGGTTGTATTGGTACATACTTGTCAACAACCTAGGAACTCTTTCTTATCTCTTACAGCTAGGGACTTTTACTGCGCTAAGCCTGAAGGGGGATTGTTCTGTCCCTGCTATATGCTTCCTGCTACTGATGTCGTCTGCTATAGGTTCCTATTAGCCTCTACAGGCTTCTATGGTTAAATGTCAGTAAGCAGAGCTGCTGTGTATCAGCAGTGTGCAAAACCACAGACTGTGAGCTCTTAAACTGCTAAAGTTTCCATTCTGTTCTACCACAAGACTGTTCCTGGGTTCCTGCCAAAAAAAGAAAGAAAGAAAGAAAGAAAGAAAGAAAAATTTGACTTTAGTGGGTTTATGGGTGATTATGTGGCAAAATCAGTGTCAGAAATTTGAATCACAGTGGCTAACAACTTAATTATATATTTTTATATAGCTGGTAGAGAGAATTTTGGATGCTTCTAACATAAATAAATAAATAAACAAACATAAATAAATAAACAGATGAATAAACAAATAAATAAATAAATGTTTGAGGTGATAGAAATATACCAATAACCCTGATCTGATCATTATGTATTGTATATACAAGTGTTGTTGTACCTTATAAATATGTGTAATTATGTGTTAATTTAAAATATGTAATAATTTTTTTTAATCATAAGAAACTACTTGTGAGTAGATTATTTCCTTCCTGTCAGATTCACATTGTTCTTTGTTCTAAATTTAATCAGTTTCAGAGGACCACAGAATCTTATACAACATTGTTTTGAGTTGTTTCACTTTTTTAGAAATGTATTAAAAATAGGGATTTTATATTTTTCTGTGGCAATCCTGTTATTAAATTTGGCTCTATATTAAGTATTAGAGCTTTTTACCTATAGTACACTTTAAACTGAGATAGACTGGTTCCTGGAAATACTTTCTGTTCTAGAAAAGATTTCCCACTTCATGTTTCCTCTTTGATGTCTTATACTTCAATCTCAAGTATTACACATTCATCATAAAATTTTTAATTTCTGGTTCTGCCACCCTTTTGTTTTTTTCCATCTTATTAGGTGATGCCATCTTCCATCTAGTTATTCATGCCAGAAGCTTGGGGGTTATCCTTTCCTATTCATTTTATGTAATCTAGTCATGTTGTTTCCCCATAGAAAGGATTATTCCATTCCATATTCTTCACCCCAGTCCAAACCACTGTCATCTCTCTCTCTCTCTCTCTTTAAATTTTTTTTTTTTAATTGTCAATGGACCTTTATTCATTTATATGCGGTGCTGAGAATCAAACCTAGCGCCTCACCCATGCTGGGCAAACGTTCTGCCACTGAGCCACAACCCCAGCCCCCACTGTCATCTCTTGACCAGATGACTTCAGTAGCCATTTAACCTCTACTTTTTGTCTCCCTTTCAGTTTATTTCCCCCACTGCAACAGTGATCTGTAGTGGTCTTTAAGTGTTAATTTGGTAATTGCTTTATCCTTAGTGTCCAAAGTAATACCTGATACATGTTGTGGGTACCTTTTACTGAAAATTCCTCAGTGATTTCTTACTGACTACTTCTTTAATGTTATCTCTTACAACTCTTTGTCCCTCTTTGGCATGTTTTAAAAATAATATATGTTGATTTCAAATCTTTTTTTTTTTTTTTTTTTT